TAAGTAATAAAATGATGAGTGACATCGTCTCCACAGGGATTGGTAGGAAATTAAGTTAAGAACATACAATCGAACTATAAATAAATAATGTATATAAATGGTATGAACAAAGTGGGATGAATGTTGTAGCAAAATAAGAAGAGTGAATTGTTGTAACAAAAGGTAAAGTAAAATAAAGTTATGTTGTAGCAAATTTGTGTTTCAGAACTGGGTGTACAAGACAAGACAATGATACAACCCCACACGTGTGAAACTCTAAAGAAGGATAAAAGGTTGGGTCTATCTTAGAATTCTATGTCTTGTCCACAATGAATGTTTAACAACTTCCGGTTAATAAGATGTTCGATAGAGTTTTCTAATTGTTTCTATGTTATCTCTAGTAAGAAATTGACAATGAAAATGCTAAAACAATACATCTTAGCGTCAACCCTAGTATGATACTATCTATGAAGCCCTACTATTTTTAGTAATTGAAACTATATCCTTATCTCTAAGGCGAGTTAGGGTTTTGCTTCTCAACTCAACCCCATTATCCACGTAAATCTAAGTTTAACTCTCTCAAATATTAAGCATCTTATATAGATAAAGACTATCTCTTGAAAGCTCTTACAAATCTAAATTATAAAACAGTGAACAAAACATGTATTTAAATTGGAAATGCTTTAACATTCATTAAAACAAAACATAACCATCCAAAATAAACACAAACCAAACCAAGTTAGTCCATGATTGCGTAATAAACATCCATTAAAATGATTCGAATAAAAACCTCAAACAAACAACAAACAACACGAGAAAACTAAAGAGGAATAAAACTCCTTATCTGTCGTGGACTACTTTGAACCACCTCAAGCGTTGATGCTTCTCTCAAAGTCTAGCGAGCTTTATCTCCTTGGAGCTTTAACAATAGAGGTGACCATGATAAAAGAGATAAGAAGGAATAAGTGGTCACCTCTCACTTTTCTCTCTCTTATCTCACACTTTTCCCATTTTATCTTTAATTTGGTGTCTTTAGTTTTATATAGTGGGTGCTCTTAGGGTTTTGTGCCCTAATTCCTTATGTGTCTTATGAAAAAGATTCCTTTCACGTGTGGGACACAACTGGTAGAGGGGTCACGAATGAGTTACAAAAAATCTTCATCTTGTCTTTTAGCACGCCTAGAAATAGAAATGTCGTTCATAATACTTTACCAAAAGTTCATCCTCTAGCAGTTCTCCTTAAATAACATGCACATCACCACACCAAAACATTCTCTTTCTCTCAAAACAGAACCAATTTTATAAATAAATAAAACTCAGCAAGAAAACACCACCATATGCAACTAAATGGCTACATGCAATTAAATAAACTACATGCAACTAAATAAACTTTAAAACAACTAATAACTACATGCAACTAAATTAGCTTTAAAACAACTAATAATCTAAATAAAAATACATGAAATATACCTTTTTTTTATAGGGTTAACACCCATCACTAAAATACTATTTCACTGCATATTTATCTCCTTTGCAATTTCTAGTTAATACCACCGACTACTAGTTGTTCACCTATTCAGCTATTCCGGCCATTAAACGTCGCAGTTCTCACGTGGAGTGACTGACTGTGTTCTCGTTTTAACATTTTCTACCAAATTTCACGTCAACTAATTTGTAATTTCAAGCACAAATCAGATAATTTCAATGATTAAAGAAATTATTAGACATTTTAAGTTCGAGCACGATTGAATTTTTTTTAACAGATATAACCTTATAATCACTCCAAAGTAATAAAAAAAATTAACTTCAAAATTTCTTCTATGACTTATAGAACCACCAATTGAGGTGGCTGCTTTGATTATTCAATAGACTGAAGCAACCAAGTTTCTTGTCAAAGAGTTTTTTTTGGCCTTCATCATCTACATTACTGTCCTTTATTCATTCAACTTTGTCTTATAAGTACCCCCCACAAACTTGACTGATCAAGTTAAGAGCTACATAATCCAACTGCTTAAAACTCCAAATTATAAGCCACGTAATTCTGCAGATTGAGCCAATAGGAATGACAGTCCAACTTTAGTAACTAAGGGTCTGGAACGGAGAAAACATTTTACGGAAAATGTTTTTCCCGTTTTCGGGTGTTTGGTTCGCTGAAAACTCCAGGTCAATGTAAAATGTTTTCCAGTCAATGGAAAACTAAGGCTTAAAAACGGTATTTCAACTTACCGTTTGAAAAAGGGTAAGTTGAAATCCAAATTTCTTGCAATCCTTGGTCCACACAGAGAACACCATGAATTCTTTCTCCCATCCCTTGCTCCACACCGACGACTGTTTGGAATCCTTCTCACAGGCGAGGCGGGCAGTCATATTCTCAGGTATGATTTTCCATTTTTTTTTAGTTTACTTCTCTCTCGCCTCTGCATTTTCTGGTACTTCCTCTCTATTACTCTGCTATTGATTCCTACTGCTATCCATTAAATCTGCTTGTATTCGACAATATTACAATTGTGTTTTCTGTCGATTAGCTTTTGATTAATTGCTTCTTGGCTTCTGATCTGAATAATGATTTAAATGCAACATGTTGTCTTTAATGGGTTATTAGATATTTAGGTAATTCGTGGAATTATGTTTGATTGTTTATGCGCTGTATAATCTTATTTATTCTGTATTGGTTCTATGGTTTTGTCGGAAAGCTGTGGTTACGGAGGCAAATTTGGGGTTTAGGTAAGGGTTTTGTTTTGACTGTAAAGAATCTGTTTGTGGAATGGGTTAAATTGATTTTCCTTGTTAAAAACTTGATTCCATTTCTTTCTCTTGGTTCTATGTCCTTTTTTGTTCCAATTTGATCAGATCCAAACGTAATGTTTCATGAATCTATAGTAAAGAACGTGTTAAGGTCGGCTTTGTGCTAGTCCTTTGCTTCCCTACATGAATGTAACCAAGTTAAATTATTTCCATGTAATATGACAGTATTAACAGGAGTTGTCTCACTTGTCAGGCTCTTAACACCTCCAGGTACTCCCCTTTTTCCTTCCTTGGAGATGGACTCACAAAAGACTGTAATGAGTCAAATTGGCACTCCTAACACTCGTTCGACTGCCTTGAAATCCAGAGTAACTAATTTTTTCCTTAACGCTATAATATGGATTGCACACATTTTGAGAAGTTTGGATTATTCTAGTACATGATACAGCAATTTATCTGGAAATTTGAAGTTACTTGATTTCCTTTTTTACCTTGTTCTAAATAAAACTTAGCCCTGTCTTAACTCTTAGCCCTGTTCTAAATAACTGAAAGGCTTGGATGGCAAAAGGGCGGGTCGGTGCGGATACCCCCTCCCCCATCCCCATACCTACCTAATATTTTTCAATCCACCACCCGCCCACCATCTATGATGGGTACAAAATTTTAAATCCACACCCGCCCACGCGGGTATATTTTCAAATTCATCCCCACACCCACTACCCATTAGTGACATACCCATCTAGACCCGCCTGAAAGCAAACTAATGGGATGTTGGAGTTGGTTCCTAGACAGTTCGTGATGGGGTAGCAGCGCATGCTTCAATTTGTCAGAGGAGTGACTCTACGAATGTTATGGAGACAGATTGTAGGGAGCATGTAGTCGTAGAGCTGGATTGTTGAGTTGCTTTCGATGTTAATGCTCATAGTGCGCCTAATATGGGTTTTGAGGGGCTAAAGAACATGGAAACTGCTGCTTTTGATGTTAATGCTTATAGTATGGCTAATTTATGTTTGGAAGGGCATCATGGTCTAAAGAACATGGAAAGTGACGTGATTAGTGAGATTATGAGTTTAATCAAAGAGCCGAATATTTCTCTAATTAAAGACCAGATTAAAGACTAAATATACTTAATATTTGGTTAAATTATATGTTATATATTATACAATATTAAAATTTATAAATTAGTCTCTAAAATTACAACTAAATTCATAATGGTCCAAAATTTAATAGATATTTAACTGGGCGGGCGGATGCGGGGCGGGTAATGTCTCAAACCCATTACCCGCCCACCACCCACGACAGGTACCACTTTATAAATCCACATATGCCCACTACCCGCTAAAATTATACCCATCCCCGCTCCAATTGGAGCGGATGCAGTGCGGAATCCACGAAACTGTACCCGTTTACCATCCCTATAAAAGACACATTTTTGTACCTACATCAATAGTTCACAAGGAACCAGCAAGGATAAATGCCTGATATATTGGTAGTTCAGAGCTTAGCATCAATAATGACAATTGTTTATACGGGAGTGAAGTAGAAGATGATGTCGGCTATGAGAAAGTTGGTTAATCCCCTCCAATGTTCATGCCAGATGATAGTGCATTCAACCATGAGATATGGTCATACGTTATTGTTTTAAGTTCTTCAAGATTTTAACATTTGGTGGAGAGAAACTTATTTCCAGGAATAACCGAGTATCAAAATCATTGTTCTACTATGAATGTAAAGCTAATTATATTTGTTTATTGTTCAGCTTATAAAATTAATTTGTATTATTACGGTTAGATATTATTGTTGTTTTAATGTGATAAACCATTTAATTATATATTTTGACATTATTATTATTACAATGTTATGTATTATTGTTGTTTTTAATTTGGTGTAGTAATTAAACAATTCTTAAGATTTATAAACTTTTATCATATATTTTTAATTAATTATTAATATTATCTAAAATACATATTTTTATAAAATATAATTATATATAAAAAATAACCTTTAAAAATAATAAATACTAAAACATATCTAATATGTACAACTTCTTTATTAAAACAGATTCTAAAAATTATTTTCAGAAAAATTAACCAAACAATGTAAAACATTTTACAATATATTATCCAAACACTAAAAAATGTTTTCTGAAAAAAAATTTACATTTCTGTAAAACATTTTCTAGATTTCATTTTCCGAAAAACGTTTTCAGTGAAACAAACAGACCCTAAAAATGACAACAATTCCCACCTTTTTTTTGAAGTCCTGCTGCTGCAATATCTCAAACTTTTTACCCTACGTATATAATATCACATATAGTGCAGCAATGGCTTTTAATACACGAGAAGAAGAAGTTGGTTTTGAAAGTCCTGTGAGAAGAGAAACTGGAGTAAAAACTATCAACTGTAAGAAGCCAGCATCGGAGCTGATGTTGTAACATTGCTGGATGGTTTGTTGGACAATCGACGCTTGTAGCGCTTAAGCACAGATGCCAAGTTCTCTTTTCCCTTTGGGAAAGCTACATCACCGGCAGCAGTCCCCGTTCGACCCTTCCGGCATGATATAGCTATCTCGACATCCTTAATTATATCCAACAGCGTCACAGCATTTGTACACTTACCCTTTCCTGGTTTTGCAGCCGGAGGCAACATTCCATTTGAAACAGCCGGATTTAACCTCTGCTGATATTCCTGGGGGATTTGTACGCAGAAGCAAGGCGTCATTGGGGTTCGAGGCTTTGAAAATGCAAGATCTATCACACCCTGTTAAAAAGGAATAATAGCAGTTATTTTCATCAAAATAAAGGAGAAACTGCGAAAAATATACTACAAACTCATCAGCTCAAACAAACAAATAGGCCACCCTCTGAAATTGCACTTGCAAACATTTTTGCAACTAATGCTTGATAAACATACAAACCAAAAGGAAATACAGTACAGTGTAGGAAGAAAATTTTATTATGCCAATCAATCAAAGGAATTCCCAAAAATTGAAGATAACAAAGGCGAAAGACGTCAGAAGAACTTAACCAAACCTACATAACTCTTTGCAAAGTCAGAGTAATCTCGTCCACCAAGTGCAACCGGTGAAACAAACATGGCAAACTAATGAAACTAACACACACAATACCCAGAGAACACCCACTCCTTTTAATCAACTGATGAGGAACAATGATAACAACCAACAACTTACCCAATGGATAAATGCATTAACTAGCTAGGAAACAAATACAAAAATCATACCTGGAGCCGATTAAGCACATAAGTATATTTTCCCCATAGCTCTGGTCGGCTTTCCATCAGAGAAAGATCAAGGATACGGTGAATGCACCACACTCCAAAGCTTATTATCAAATCCGCTTTCCATATACAGCCCTCCCCACAATGAGGTACTGATGAAATTAACAAGTATTGAGAATCACGTGTGTTAACAACCTGGTTCATCTCTCTAGCTTCTGCATCATAAAGAAACCTCTCCCTTGCTGCTACACTATCAATTAAGTCCTCATCAGCTCCATCATTTTGTCTAAACAACCAATCAGACCCATCTAATTTCAAGAGCCTTACTATACAGTGGCGGAAAGATTGAAGAAGTTTGGACTCTAAATCCACTCCAAAAGCAGTATCCAGAGTCGCAGAGTTCAACCCACTTCCAAGTGCTTCATTCCCAGCAGTGCTGCTTTTGTCAGCTACACCAAACTGCTCAAAAGGCTGTCTAGACCAAAGGGATCCAGTGCCTGAACCTGAGCTCAACGGTAAAGGCAAAGAGCCTTTGTAACCCTTTAAATGAGAAGGCTCATCAAAGGAAAATGGAACTCCTGCCCTTGATCCAGCAGTTGAATACATGGGTGATCCATAGTTTGTCTGACCAATGGGTGACCCATATCCAATGAAACTGTCCCACTGACCACTCTTCGCAGACACCCGATGAGGAACAGAAAGCCCAGATATGTCTGGTAAGCTATGATACTTCTTTGTATTGACTGATATACCAGAATTATCATTTATTCCGGAGAAGCTCATGTCATTATAAGTCCTTTCGGATTGTAATGCACTACTTCTAGAAACCACGACATTCTCAAATCCAGGGGGCTGTGCAGGAGCTACCCCGTTCTGTGATTTTTGCCTTGATGCAAAAGCAACAGAGCCTCTATAATCTGTAGGGTCTATGGCAGGAGGTTCTGATGCAGGTAATTCCATCTGATCATTCAAGCAATCCAAGCTTCTGTCCTTACCAATTCGATTAAGATAAGATGCAATCTGATATCCATGCACTGTAGCTGGTTGATAATCCCATGCATCAGCAGATGGTGCAGCACGCAAACTAAAGTATCTCCTTTCACCAGAATCAACATTATGCAAACTAGAGTAACTCTTCTCACCAGAATCAACATTATGGCTACAATTTTGAACATAAGCATCTAACATTTGTGTGTGGTTTGACCATAACGATGATCCTCTCAAATACCCATATGATAAATCAACACCGTTTTGCATTTTCAGCTGCTTTGGAGAGTCGTACAGACTTGAACTATTAAGTGTATCAGATCCTCTGCATCCTACCGAAGGGAGATCCCCAGCAATATCCACTTTTAATGGTTTTGAGTCAACACCTAATAACACATCTAATTTCTTCACCTTGGCTTCTTGGGTAGGTCGCCCATAATAATCGTAAAATTGGCCCCAAAATTCATCAAGAACGGCAGCTAATTGACGCCTTGCAGCACGACCTAGTCCAGCTAATCTGGATAGACTTCCCCTTCCATTTCCACCATCATCACTTTTCCCACTGAGGCTTCTAAATGAAGGAGGGCCATCTGGTGTCAAAGAGGTAATACTTCCAGAAGGAGGTTTGGATGGCTCTTCAGGCTCCCAAGAATCTCCATCATCTTTTTCAATCTGCAGATCTCCCTCTATACTCACTGTTTTCTCAATAGGCTTCATTGATTCAAACATCGAAGTCTCCGTACCCGGTATTTCATCTGCCACCTCATTGACTAGAATGGAAGCAGACTCAGTTATGGATGCTGGTTCCTCAGAGTTACAGCTCGTGGGGTTAGTAAACACACCATTAGAAGAGTTCTCGTTAACAGTGGTCAAATGTATTTCCTGTTCAGACTCCATAATTGTTTCAGGCAAATCCAGATTATAATGTGGAAAAGATAACTCTGAACGAGTTTCAATGGACTTTTCTGGTGTTGCTGATCTTTCCAGCATATGAGCAGGTTCCTCTCCACAATATCTAGTTTTACTTAACTCATTTTCCTCAGGCAAACTCAGATTATAATGTGGAAAAGATAAATTTGAACGAGTTTCAATGGATTTTTCTGCTGATGCTGACCTTTCTAGCATATGAGGAGGTTCCTCTCCATGATGATATCTAGTTGTACTTTCATTTTCCTCTCTCTCTATAGCCATCTCAGAAGCAGTTCTGCTCAAATCCCATTTCAATGCATGAGATTTACTTTTGGAACTGGCAGATTTTAAGGGAGTAGCTGCTAACCATAACATCAAAGAAAACGACGCACAAGCAGCGGCCAGAAGAACAACAAAAGAAACAGACATGCTAATCCCAGCATTCAATCTCAAATTACTAGCCCAATCGCTACTCCCGAATATCATTTCTACAATAAAAATCATCTTCAAACCCAACATTCCCATGAATGTTACCAGTGTTAGGAACTCCACAATTGGAGAAACCTTATAGACACCCATAATCGGTCTTGATGAGGCAACTCGAAACAAGGGGATTACCGAAGACGGCAACAAAAGGGCTACCATAACCTGCGCAAAGATAAACATCTGGTATACACCCTCAGGTCCAGAAGTCCACACACAATAAAGAGCTGGAACCATTGCTACAATTCTGATTGTTGCCCGATGAAGCCAACCCGGTATATCAAGCCCAAGGAAATCGTGCAATACAACTTGCCCACCAAGATTCCAGGTTGATGCAGTAAGCTGATTAGATAAGAACATAACCAACAAAAAGACTAGGGGCAGTATACCATTCCTAAATACCTGTTTTAATAATTTCAAAAGGAACTTATTAGTATCCACACATAAATTGAATTGTTGAGAAATATTTAAACATGATTCTTAAAAGCCATCACAAACAAAAACTTATCAGAAAAAGTTGTTGGAAATCCTAGAATTAAGGGACTGAATCTTCTTCCTTATTTTTAGGTGTTAACTTAGTATAAATATGTCTCTAATTGTAGTTCCTAATTTTTAGGGACACTTTCCTATTTTTTTGCACTAATTCTTACTTTAAAAGATGTAATCTGCTGTTAGAGAAATATCAGAATAATTTTTCTCAAAACTGTTCATGGTGTCAGAGCGGTAGGGATATTTATGATCCATTCTACTTCTTTAATTTTCTCCCATGTCTTGTTTTTCTATCATGGCAAACACTGGAAATATTTCTGATTTTGAGACTTCACAAGTAACTCAGAATGTCAATCAAGCACTATCTCATAGTGATGTTAATTCGTCCCTCACAATCACTAATCACCGATTAGATGGGAAGAATTTTTTACAGTGGTCCCAATCAGTACTCATGGTGATTCGAGGTCGTGGGAAACTAGGATATATCAGTGGAGAAATTCCACGTCCTCACCTTACTGATCCTACATATGCTACGTGGGAACTCAATAATTCTATTGTCATGGCCTGGGTGATCAACTCCATGGAGAGTCACATAAGCCGAACCTACCTCTTGTTCAAGACTGCAAAAGAAATGTGGGATGCAGTCAAGGAGAACTATTTTGATCTAGGAACTGCTTCTCAAGATTTTTAAATCAAGCTAAAATAAAAAAGACATTCAGCAAGGAACTATTGAAGTTACACAGTACTACAACAACTTAAAAGTCTTATGGCAGGAACTCGATATGTACTATGAAGTGGACTGGGGTGAAGGCTTGGAGCACACCAAGTTCATGTCACATCTCAATAAAGAACGGCTCTATGAGTTCCTAGCAGGGCTGAACCGAGACTTGGACGAAGTTCGTGGCCGTATTCTGGGTAGGACCCCTCTTCCAACCATTGGAGAAGCATTTGCAGAGGTTCGAAGAGAAGAAAATCGTCGCCGAGTAATGATGGAAGATTCCAAGGAACCAAAACCTGTGACCAATTATGGTCATAGTCCTACTGAATCATCTGCCCTGGTCTCAAGGGGCCCTTAATCTCAAAAAATTCGAGCAGGGAATGATTCAAAACTAAGTCGCTCAAGAGATCAACTGTGGTGTAACTATTGTAACCGTACCGGCCACACAAAGGAAAAATGTTTCAAGCTCCACGGTTATCCCGGTACAACAAAAATTCAGAAGGAAAACAAGGCTCTTTTATCCTTGGGCAACTCATCCACTGCGACCCCTGTACCTACTGAAGCCGTTCAGGATGTTCGCCTAACAAAGTCCCAACTTGAAACTCTTCACAACTAAGTCTCAAGACTAAAACTTAATAAATTATAATCTCATTGTTGCGTGTGTGAGTATATTATATTATGATACGTAAATTGTGCAACTATACACGTCGAATAAGTAATAAAATGATGAGTGACATCGTCTCCACAGGGATTGGTAGGAAATTAAGTTAAGAACATACAATCGAACTATAAATAAATAATGTATATAAATGGTATGAACAAAGTGGGATGAATGTTGTAGCAAAATAAGAAGAGTGAATTGTTGTAACAAAAGGTAAAGTAAAATAAAGTTATGTTGTAGCAAATTTGTGTTTCAGAACTGGGTGTACAAGACAAGACAATGATACAACCCCACACGTGTGAAACTCTAAAGAAGGATAAAAGGTTGGGTCTATCTTAGAATTCTATGTCTTGTCCACAATGAATGTTTAACAACTTCCGGTTAATAAGATGTTCGATAGAGTTTTCTAATTGTTTCTATGTTATCTCTAGTAAGAAATTGACAATGAAAATGCTAAAACAATACATCTTAGCGTCAACCCTAGTATGATACTATCTATGAAGCCCTACTATTTTTAGTAATTGAAACTATATCCTTATCTCTAAGGCGAGTTAGGGTTTTGCTTCTCAACTCAACCCCATTATCCACGTAAATCTAAGTTTAACTCTCTCAAATATTAAGCATCTTATATAGATAAAGACTATCTCTTGAAAGCTCTTACAAATCTAAACTATAAAACAGTGAACAAAACATGTATTTAAATTGGAAATGCTTTAACATTCATTAAAACAAAACATAACCATCCAAAATAAACACAAACCAAACCAAGTTAGTCCATGATTGCGTAATAAACATCCATTAAAATGATTCGAATAAAAACCTCAAACAAACAACAAACAACACGAGAAAACTAAAGAGGAATAAAACTCCTTATCTGTCGTGGACTACTTTGAACCACCTCAAGCGTTGATGCTTCTCTCAAAGTCTAGCGAGCTTTATCTCCTTGGAGCTTTAACAATAGAGGTGACCATGATAAAAGAGATAAGAAGGAATAAGTGGTCACCTCTCACTTTTCTCTCTCTTATCTCACACTTTTCCCATTTTATCTTTAATTTGGTGTCTTTAGTTTTATATAGTGGGTGCTCTTAGGGTTTTGTGCCCTAATTCCTTATGTGTCTTATGAAAAAGATTCCTTTCACGTGTGGGACACAACTGGTAGAGGGGTCACGAATGAGTTACAAAAAATCTTCATCTTGTCTTTTAGCACGCCTAGAAATAGAAATGTCGTTCATAATACTTTACCAAAAGTTCATCCTCTAGCAGTTCTCCTTAAATAACATGCACATCACCACACCAAAACATTCTCTTTCTCTCAAAACAGAACCAATTTTATAAATAAATAAAACTCAGCAAGAAAACACCACCATATGCAACTAAATGGCTACATGCAAATGGCTACATGCAATTAAATAAACTACATGCAACTAAATAAACTTTAAAACAACTAATAACTACATGCAACTAAATTAGCTTTAAAACAACTAATAATCTAAATAAAAATACATGAAATATACCTTTTTTTATAGGGTTAACACCCATCACTAAAATACTATTTCACTGCATATTTATCTCCTTTGCAATTTCTAGTTAATACCACCGACTACTAGTTGTTCACCTATTCAGCTATTCCGGCCATTAAACGTCGCAGTTCTCACGTGGAGTGACTGACTGTGTTCTCGTTTTAACATTTTCTACCAAATTTCACGTCAACTAATTTGTAATTTCAAGCACAAATCAGATAATTTCAATGATTAAAGAAATTATTAGACATTTTAAGTTCGAGCACGATTGAATTTTTTTTAACAGATATAACCTTATAATCACTCCAAAGTAATAAAAAAAATTAACTTCAAAATTTCTTCTATGACTTATAGAACCACCAATTGAGGTGGCTGCTTTGATTATTCAATAGACTGAAGCAACCAAGTTTCTTGTCAAAGTGTTTTTTGGCCTTCATCATCTACATTACTGTCCTTTATTCATTCAACTTTGTCTTATAAGTACCCCCCACAAACTTGACTGATCAAGTTAAGAGCTACATAATCCAACTGCTTAAAACTCCAAATTATAAGCCACGTAATTCTGCAGATTGAGCCAATAGGAATGACAGTCCAACTTTAGTAACTAAGGGTCTGGAACGGAGAAAACATTTTACGGAAAATGTTTTTCCCGTTTTCGGGTGTTTGGTTCGCTGAAAACTCCAGGTCAATGTAAAATGTTTTCCAGTCAATGGAAAACTAAGGCTTAAAAACGGTATTTCAACTTACCGTTTGAAAAAGGGTAAGTTGAAATCCAAATTTCTTGCAATCCTTGGTCCACACAGAGAACACCATGAATTCTTTCTCCCATCCCTTGCTCCACACCGACGACTGTTTGGAATCCTTCTCACAGGCGAGGCGGGCAGTCATATTCTCAGGTATGATTTTCCATTTTTTTTTTAGTTTACTTCTCTCTCGCCTCTGCATTTTCTGGTACTTCCTCTCTATTACTCTGCTATTGATTCCTACTGCTATCCATTAAATCTGCTTGTATTCGACAATATTACAATTGTGTTTTCTGTCGATTAGCTTTTGATTAATTGCTTCTTGGCTTCTGATCTGAATAATGATTTAAATGCAACATGTTGTCTTTAATGGGTTATTAGATATTTAGGTAATTCGTGGAATTATGTTTGATTGTTTATGCGCTGTATAATCTTATTTATTCTGTATTGGTTCTATGGTTTTGTCGGAAAGCTGTGGTTACGGAGGCAAATTTGGGGTTTAGGTAAGGGTTTTGTTTTGACTGTAAAGAATCTGTTTGTGGAATGGGTTAAATTGATTTTCCTTGTTAAAAACTTGATTCCATTTCTTTCTCTTGGTTCTATGTCCTTTTTTGTTCCAATTTGATCAGATCCAAACGTAATGTTTCATGAATCTATAGTAAAGAACGTGTTAAGGTCGGCTTTGTGCTAGTCCTTTGCTTCCCTACATGAATGTAACCAAGTTAAATTATTTCCATGTAATATGACAGTATTAACAGGAGTTGTCTCACTTGTCAGGCTCTTAACACCTCCAGGTACTCCCCTTTTTCCTTCCTTGGAGATGGACTCACAAAAGACTGTAATGAGTCAAATTGGCACTCCTAACACTCGTTCGACTGCCTTGAAATCCAGAGTAACTAATTTTTTCCTTAACGCTATAATATGGATTGCACACATTTTGAGAAGTTTGGATTATTCTAGTACATGATACAGCAATTTATCTGGAAATTTGAAGTTACTTGATTTCCTTTTTTACCTTGTTCTAAATAAAACTTAGCCCTGTCTTAACTCTTAGCCCTGTTCTAAATAACTGAAAGGCTTGGATGGCAAAAGGGCGGGTCGGTGCGGATACCCCCTCCCCCATCCCCATACCTACCTAATATTTTTCAATCCACCACCCGCCCACCATCTATGATGGGTACAAAATTTTAAATCCACACCCGCCCACGCGGGTATATTTTCAAATTCATCCCCACACCCACTACCCATTAGTGACATACCCATCTAGACCCGCCTGAAAGCAAACTAATGGGATGTTGGAGTTGGTTCCTAGACAGTTCGTGATGGGGTAGCAGCGCATGCTTCAATTTGTCAGAGGAGTGACTCTACGAATGTTATGGAGACAGATTGTAGGGAGCATGTAGTCGTAGAGCTGGATTGTTGAGTTGCTTTCGATGTTAATGCTCATAGTGCGCCTAATATGGGTTTTGAGGGGCTAAAGAACATGGAAACTGCTGCTTTTGATGTTAATGCTTATAGTATGGCTAATTTATGTTTGGAAGGGCATCATGGTCTAAAGAACATGGAAAGTGACGTGATTAGTGAGATTATGAGTTTAATCAAAGAGCCGAATA